AATGCTATATTATTTAATGTCTTACAAGCAAACACAGGTGTATAAAGTAGTACTTCATACATGGTCCCCACAGGAAGAATGTACTAAAAACTTGTTTTAAAGAGTGAATTTGAGCAACCACGAACACTTACCCCTCTGTCTGTTGAACTGACGACCACGAACACCAGTTCTTAGTGTCGGTGGCTGAAGTCTGACACGTCGAAATGGCTTAGGCTGATTACTGCTTGTGTCTGTGAAAAAGTGAAAACGCAGGAAAGAATGTCTGCATCTAGTACAGTTTCTCACTGTTAATGTTTACATGATTTGATACGCATTATGCTCTTGAATTTACTTTAAAATCATGAAGGTGCATCCTTATTTCATTGACATCTTCTCTGATATAAATAAAAGCCTCAAAACAAGTAAGTCTGGGACTTTCTTCATCACCTATGCTAGGTGGTAAATTGGTAACTCAGTGATTTATTTACTGTTGACAATTTAATTGAATGAAAAAATATTTTTAAATCTGACATCAAACATAACAGTGGACAGAATCACCGAAGTATCAATAACTTTTGCTCCTTGAAGCATTGTTCTTACTAAGGCCTACTCTAGTTACTGTGGCCCAAGTAAAAATTGTTTGCCATTAATACTATAGGCATTAAAACATGATCTTGCTCTAAGAGTTTTATCTCATTTTGTGTATCTTGGCTATCAGCAGTGCATGATGCTGGTCCAAAAAGTTCCCACACTTAATGAAGTGATATGAAACAACTGCTTCCAGCAATTAACCTGTACCTGCAGAGGAACTAGAAGGAGGATCTTGACTAGTCGAAGGAAGATCTGACTCATCAGACGCTTGAACAGATTCTTCTTCTTGCTGGCTATCAATTTCTAGGCCTGCTTCTGAAGTAATTCTAGAAGAGAAGGAGGGGGAGGAAAAACATGTAAGTGTATTCACACAGTTTCAAAAAGCTCAGGAAAAAAAAAAGCATCATCTTGGAGCAGAAAGATTCCCATGATTCCTATGCAAATGTCGTTCCCTAGAAATTCCCACTGGTTTTATTCTGTTTTGTTGTGTCCCCCCCGCCCCAATCATGAGAGATTTATCTGGCTTTTAGAAAAGTAACAATGTAATTTCCTTGATATGCAGCCCAACTCCAGATGCATAATCAACATACTAATTGTCTTTCAGAGAAGGTCATGGAAGCTATTTAATAACAACAACTAAAAAACCTAACATGATGGTGGTGTGTATATTTAGATAGGGGAAGAATGAAGTGGAGGGACCACACTGGCCAGTTACACCTGAAGATCACTCATTGGTGCAATACCTAAGTTATTTGGACTCTGTCTTCAAAAGACAAAACCCAAAAAGCATTATAGGACTGGAAAAAAATTAAATATTCAATTTAGTTTAAATGCAGCTCACTTTTGGTATACATTTTATTTACCTTGATTAGTATATAAAAACTGTTAGAAGACAGTAACTAAAACTCAAACTGTGGGAAATATTTGTTCTCTACCAGCAACAGATTGACTTGCTCTCCTATCAAGCTAAAAGCCTGTTCCGAACTACAGATTGTTTTGGGAACCACTTAGTTCCTCTATGGATATACTTCTCATTCACTAAAGATTAGATGGTTTTGTAAGAAACAAATACGAGATCTTAACAGAATACCCATCCTATGCTCTATCTACTCGTAGGCAGATTATTGCAGTCCAAGTTGGTGCTGCATCAAGAAAACTGTGTGGCATAGTTAGCTTGCAGCAGTAACATTTCAATTTCTTATGACCAAACCTCCTACCTCCTGCAGTCAGTAGATAAAAGTTTAGGTAAATTGTGAACTACACATCTTTTATTATTATGCAGCCAATAAAAATAAAAAGTAAAATATCGCATAAGAAGATAACCTATCCCCTTTTAGATTTGTAATGTATTTGATAATAATATAAAATATAGCAATTATTATAAATATTAAAAATTGCACTTGCAAAGTGGAAGACAAAATCATTTGTCTATCAAATTCTTAAGAACTGCTTATTCCCCCCCCCTTGTGCTATATCTGTTGTACTTGCACTGCCTTAACTGAATGACTTCATTATATATGCTTGCTTTGTAACGAGGAGTGATTTTCTCTATTAACAAACAGGAGTGCTTTAGCCTTTACTCTACAAATCCCAGTCCTTCAAACTGGGGCCTTTACCATCAGTATTTGACTACTACAGAACCCTCTGCATTCTGAAAAAATACAGAAATCTTTTTTTTTTTGGTGACTTTTGTATTAGCTATGTTAAATCAGAAGAAGAAAATCTGAAGAAAATCTTTGGGTTTAGACCAAAAGGTCAGATTGTACTACTTCACAAAATTACTAAGTCCTGTTTGAGCTGTCCTTCCTACCAGAACAGGTTAACTTGAAAATGAATCACAGGCACAGTTGCGTGAAAAGAAATCATTAAAACTAACATGACATCAAGTCTTAGTGAACCGAACAAGTCATAGTTTACCCTTCAGACTCTGCCTCTGCGAAAACTTCATCCCCATCATCACCTGCTCCAGCCTCTGTAGTGGTGGACAGATTGCCAGTAGATGTCGTAACCATTGGAACAGACTGAGAAGCATGCTCTGAAGCGTCAGCTGATGCACTTTCAGTAAAAACTGTCACTGTACAGGAAAAGTAGTTTAATAAACATCAAGTTAGTTTGAATTTCCTACAGAAAATCTATGGAAATCTTAGGCACGTCAGGAAAAGAGCTACTGAATACTCCTGACATAGCAATAAGCACTTTAAAAATAATAACCTAATTCTTTTCTGGGAAGTCAAGGTTTCCAACCTTTACTTCAGCCTGCAAATTTCTTGCCACTTACCTGGTGCTGCTACTTGCAATGGTGTTGTGGGAACGCTACGACCACCTGATTCTTCCTCATGAGCAAGGAATAGTGGGGTTTCATACATTCCTAAACCTGCAACACAAAGTTTTAGTGACAATTAAAATAGCCAGCTAAAGAACAGATTAACTGTCTTCTCTCTGTACGCTTGATGAAATCCAGTGATTGTACTTAAATATGGAGATTTTTGTTATTTTAAGCTGTTTTGACTTACTGCCAGAGCTAATTATAATTTATTGAAAGGGAAAACCTTGATGAAAATATTTCTATTTGTTTTACTCTCATCCTTTTCTTATGCCATTATTTTGCTGTGAGCTTTCTTCAAAGAACAGCATACTGTTCCATGCTGACAGGGATACAGGGGAAAGGGACTGATTCAGGTTTCCACACTTCAACAAGTACCTGAAGCAGAATTGCATTTTATTGACTGTGTTATTTGTTTTTCACTCTAGCAACCATGGAAAAGAAAGTACATAAATGGTTTACCTCCTTGTGATGCAAGCTGACCAAGATCAGAGTGACTTGAGCTAGTTTGCGGCATATCTTCAGGGGGTCCAAATCTGAATCTAGGAACTCCAGCTACCTGGGGGGAACTATCAAAATAAAGATTTAAGGAATTCTGCAATTTTTCCAACGACTGGGGAGTGGGGGGTGGGTGGGGAGAAGACAACTTTCGGACCAAAACGAGAAAAAATTATGCATGAGACAAAATGAATACTGATTTTTATGAGTCAGCTGAACTACTGCTAATTAAATAGCAATTAGTTTCTCAAACTTACTTGGACTGCATCCAAAAAAATCAGTAAAACAGTCCTGAAGAGAGTATTCTTTACTTATTAATTCATCCTATGAATTCTCACAATTTTAAGTGGATTGCCGAACATGTCCAGAACCATACCAAATCCAAAAACGGAGGTAACTTTTCCTACTTTTATTGGTAATATTACGGGGTGGGGGGAGGAGGGGGAGAGAGCAGGGAAGGAAATTAAATAGAAGAACCTATTTTTTTGCTTAATCTCTTCTTAAGTCAGTAAGTTACAATACATTGGAGATGATGTGCCTCCTAATTTGCTGGTAAGTTTCATGATATGCAGTTCAAATAATGATTATTTGG